TTTAGATATGTTTATGTCAATTTCTTGCTGGATTGTTGTTGCCAAACGACTACCTAAGACCGCTGCTTGAAGTTCAAGCCTAGGTATGGATAAAGGTTTAAGAGGACTAACTTTAGCTCTAGCTATTAGTAATGAAGTTTCACAAATGTTGTCATTTTTAATCTGTAAGTAAGCTATTGCAGCAAATGCTTCTTCACTTGCATCGCAAAATATGTGGACTTCTACTTGATCATCAATCTTCAAAAATTTTGTGTAACACCGTGGAATTTTGATTTCTTCTAATGTTTTAAGCATTTCAAGCCATTTTTGCCAAATTTCGTAGATTGTATTGGGAATTTTACTGTCCCAATCTATTCCACTTCGCCAGATTTGTTGCATAATGATGCGACCTCTTATTGTTAAAAATGTTATTAAGCCAAGTGGGTCAAAAGGCGACATTATTATTTTTAGAACCTGTTTTTTGGTAGGTACATCTCCAAGTAAGATTTTCTCAGGTACATTTGCGAATTTTGTTTTGAAGATAAATTTATCACTTCTTGTGTCCCACCAAATACCTAATATCCTGTCGCACGTTGACATGTTAATTTCTTTCATTAATTTTTCCCCAGAAAATGTTTTATTTACTTCAGCGGAATTGGAGACCCAATTAACTACTTGGAAACCACCTTCTAAACATACTTTAATTATTTTTTTTATCTTTTCTATAGCTTCATTTTCATAATTTGTAGAATCTAGATAGTCGTCAACGTAAAAGTTTTGTTCGATATCTTTTCTCACTTCTGGGTATATTTTTGTATTTTTGCCACATAAATTCTTCACGTATTGGGCAGAGCATGGTGAGCAAGTGGCCCCAAATGTCATTGCTACCATTTCGTAGGTATCAATAGGTTTTCTGAGATCACCATCTCTCCAGAGGAATCTTTGGGAAGATTGATCTTCTTTTATGATTCTGACTTGGTGAAACATTTCACGAATATCGCCACAGAAAGCCCATTTTCTTCGCCTAAATCGCATTAAAACACCAGGCAAGCTAGTTAAAAAATCAGGACCTTGTAAAAGATTATCATTAAGACTGATGCCATTTGACTTTGCTGCTGCGTCGAAGACAAACCTTAATTTTGGTTTTTTTGGATTAATTACACCGAAGTGAGGCAGGTACCAAGTTCTGTTTGATGTATTAGTGGCCTCTTCTGGCGACAGTTTCCTAACGTATCCTTTTTCTTCATATTCTATAATTTTATTTTTATATACACTAGCATATTCTTTGCTTTTCAGCATCTTCCTCTCTACACAAAGCAGACGATGAAATGCGTTTGTTTTGCTTTCTGGTAGTGAAATATTTTCTTCTTTCCATAATAAACCAGTTTCATATCTATTTTCTCCTTCAATTTTCTTTGTTGTCTTATTTAGTATTTCTATAGCTTTTTTCTCTTCTATATTATTGGACTTATATTGTATATTGGTCCCAAATGATTCTACTGAAAAGTTTTCTTTTATTAGCTTATTAAGTTCAGTATATTCATCTACACATGTCGCACAAGAGAAAAAATTGTAATTTTTTAATTCCTTTTCTACTTTTCCGTGGACTACCCAGCCTAAATTGGTTTTTGTTGCCATCGGGGAATTTTCAGGACCTTGATATACTTTTCTCGCCACAGTCAGATTTATATTATCCTGTCCAATCAAAAGTTTAGCCTGTTCTTTGCCTATATCTTCTAGTGGAAGACCTTGTAAATGTGGAAATTTGTTGTAATTAGATATATTCATTGTTTGAGTAGGTAAAGAAAGATCTGTAATGGTTCGAACATTTTTCATTTTGAAAACCTTTGCATTTTCATGGATACCTGAAATTTCTAGATTTACTTTGCATGAGGTATCATTATAAGTAACTATATTTTTCGCCCAGTGCATGCAAAAGGGATCTGGAGTTTTTTGAAGGCCTAATTGTTTAGCAACGTCTTCTTCTAGAAGTGTTGTAGTTGAACCTTCATCAAACAGTGCATATATTTTAATACTACCATTAGGGCCATAAAGTTTGACTGGTGCGATTCTTAAGAGAATATCTGTTTCGTGATTTTTTTCTAGCCACATTATGTTCTCACCAATTTGTTCTCTGTTTTCTAAAGACGTTTCTATTTGCCCAATAGGAAAGCAATTCTTTTCTTCGTTTGAAGTCTGATCTCGATGTATTAGTTCGTGATGTCTTTTGCCACAATCATTTATTTCGCAGATTCGTCGAGACTTGCATTCTTTTAATAAATGTCGACCATTTAAACATCGAAAACAAGTGCCAAATTTTGTTAGTTTAGAAATTCTTTCTTCAACTGTATCTTCTCGTATCTTTGGACACTGTGGTATTTTATGCCCTTCATTTTTACAATATATACAATATTCTTTTTTATTTTGTTGTGATGTTAGGACTGCTTCATTTCGTTTTTGGAAATTGCTCTTAAAATTCTTATTTCCTAAATGTTCCATTGAGGTTGTTGGAGTCCGTGAACTGACGTATACTGCAGCATTAGCTAAATCGTTTAGCCATTTGGAAAAAGAATCCAGACTACTTTTGCCTTCTAATCTAGCTACTTCTTGTCCCCAGCTTAGCTTACACGAGTCAGGTAATTTTATAATTAATTCTTTAATGAGCTGTGGATTTTCTAAATAACTTTTTGAGTTTAAGTGTTCAAGTGTTGCGACAAAATTGTTGCATTTGCAGCTTAATTTAATAATAGACTCCATATCGCCTTCTTTTATTTTCGGAATAGTCTTAATTTCATACAATAAAGATTCGATTATTTGTTCATTTCTTCCGAATTTTAATTCCAAGGTTTTTATAATTTGATCTGCATTTTTTGGGTGTAACATCATGCTTCTAACGGCTTCCAAAGCTTCACCTTTCAAGCACCTCTGAAGTTTAAAAATCTTTTCTTCGTCATCAAGTTTGTACTTTAGTACTTGTCTTTTAAAGTGTTCAATAAATAAAGGCCAATCTTGCGCCTTACCGTCAAAATACACATTTTCTTTCTTGCCATCAGAAATATTTATTGGTTGTAATTGTACTTTGGACATACTTTTCATTGTATCGACAAATACATTGCAAATTTTAGTTATGTTGTCAGCTATGCTTTCATTAGTATCGCCAACAATTTCTTGTTTATCAGAAACAGATAATTTTTCAGAGAAATGATTAGGGATTTCTTCTACCCATTCTTTAGTTCTAGTGTATTTTTCCTTGTTATCTTGTTCAAGGATAACATTATTACCATCTTCGAATGACTGCAAACTAGAAATGCTTTTAGCCTCGTCGATTTGACTTTCCAGTTCTAGTATTTTTAGCTTTACTCGTTCAATTTCTAATTCTTTCTTTTTCTTTTCCAATAACCTTGAACATTTTTTTAATTTAGAAGATCCGTCAGCTTTTGAACCGTTGTTTAAATTAAAACCATGAAAATTAATTTCCAAGACTGATTTCTCTTCTATGCCTTTATTCGATCCTTGTTCATTTAAGGTTTTATTAATTTTGTCAAGTTCTTTGTCTTGTTCTATACATTTTTGAGCCTCTTGTTCGGTTTCTTTTTGATCCGTATGGTTTGAATCTGTACCAGCGGAATTATTATTATCTCTTGTACTAGGCCACAAAATATTAGGGACCAAGTTTGTATTTTTGCCTGCTGTTCTCCTAGTACTCCTTTTGGGTTCAGACATTTTGGACTGCTTACTCCGGATGGTTTCTATCCGGCTCGAAGGACCACGTTGTTGGGTTTATTTTAAGTTTTTCTCTTTTATAATTTTAAACAGTAAAATTCAGTTTGAAAAACTTCTATGTTTTATTTTTACAATTTTTATACTCTGACAAGTATTGTCAAAAAACCAAGTAACTACAATAAATTATATCAATATATCCTTAATTGCATCATCTATATACTAACTATAAAAAAATATATAACAGTATCTTTGTATCTTTGTATCTTTGTATCTTTGTATCTTTGTATCTTTGTATCTTTGTATCTTTGTATCTTTGTATCTTTGTATCTTTGTATCTTTGTATCTTTGTATCTTTGTATCTTTGTATCTTTGTATCTTTGTATCTTTGTATCTTTGTATCTTTGTATCTTTGTATCTTTGTATCTTTGTATCTTTGTATCTTTGTATCTTTGTATCTGTTGGGTTTATTTTAAGTTTTTCTCTTTTATAATTTTAAACAGTAAAATTCAGTTTGAAAAACTTCTATGTTTTATTTTTACAATTTTTATATTCTGACAAGTATTGTCAAAAAACCAAGTAACTACAATAAATTATATCAATATATCCTTAATTGCATCATCTATATACTAACTATAAAAAAATATATAACAGTATCTTTGTATCTTTGTATCTTTGTATCTTTGTATCTTTGTATCTTTGTATCTTTGTATCTTTGTATCTTTGTATCTTTGTATCTTTGTATCTTTGTATCTTTGTATCTTTGTATCTGTGCATTTGGGTATTTGTGTATTTCGTTTTGAGTGTATTTATGTGGTATCGCTCCCAAATGGAAAAACCGATTGTAATACATGTGCTTTTATTTGTAAAGTAACTTGATTGAGAGTGTTATTAGCAAACATGCAAGAAAATATGTTCAGCCGTTTGATGAGGGGATAAATGGAAATGAAAAATAAGGGCATAGACCAGGGATCGAATTCGAAATCTCCGGGTATACCCTTCGACGCCTCAACCAATTGGACTACCGAAGCTTATGGTTAGTCAGTTTTGGACAAAAAGTGCCCATTTTACTTTAAAAAAAGGAAGAAAGGTAAAGTAGAATCATGCGAAGTACACAGATCAATTAGTCTTCAATGTACATTTTTTTTGTATTTGTATTTACAATAAATTCGATATTCGATACAGGGTAGCAGGACATTAAATGGCTGCTGAATAATTAATTTTTTAATTCAAATGAAAATCTTTTAGTGCAAATTTCGTAAATGTTAAAAACATAATGAAAGTGTGTAAATTTTTCGTACCATTAGTTCTTTTTCTAAAAAACTTCCCTCTCTAAAGCTCCAGCTTACAGTATCTTTATGGGCAATAAGGTCATCCAGAGTTGTGATAGGTATATCAATTTTCGGAAAAGTTAGAAATGCCACCAAATTTCCACAATACGTCGTAGACATTACCAGCACAACTAACCACCAGCCACCCACTAGTATCCTCGCACTGTCTGCATAAGGAAGGTGCATACCTCCTAAAAATTATGTTTATAAGATAAGGGTTATGAGACGCATATAACATATAAAATAAATTATTTTACCTTGTTGAAGTAAGGCTCCATACATGTACCAAATGCAATTCTGAATAGAAGCTAAACCTCCTTTCATCGGATAGCCTTTGTATTCATAAACAGGACTGTGACGATGTATAAAATATAACAAAGGTCCCATAGAAACAATAGCAGCAGCCAAACATATCCAAGTCTAAATAAAACAAAATTAAACTAAAAAAGATGCAAGTTTTCAATCTTCCAGATAATTTTATTATGATCTTTTACCTCTGATATCTCAAAATGCTCCAATTATTTTCTTGCTGGGATTTCTACCCAACTTTTTAATCACAAAATGCATAAATATCGATCTAACGTGACTGGATTATAATCTAATTGTAAGAAACATTTAAAATGCACTACTTACGTCCATAGTAAAAGGAGAAATAAACAGCAACGCCCTGCTAAGTTCTTTAGGTCGAGCTACTAAAAATGTATAGCTTAAAATCGTTATAGGCATTGTAAAATTCAACGCTTTATCCAATTCTTCTGTAACAGTAACTGCACAAGCTCCCATAGCAACAGTTTTGTTTTTTATCATTTCCAAAAGTACTTTTGGAACATCATTCGTAAGGTCGGTGTCCACGTCATACGAGCCGTTAATTGAAGCACCTGTTTGAAATGTTTTTAATTTAACAAATTATGAAAATATAGTCATTTTATTTCATCTTTAATTGTTTTGTAACAGTATAATTTTTTCTCTAATCTCTTTTTTATTAAGAAATGAATCGAGAGAGTATTTAAAGTGTGTAAAATTGAGTTTTATTCAATAAAACTCTATAAAAAATTTGTCTGAGCGCTTTCGGCCTCTTAAGCCATCATCAAAGACTCTATAGAAGAGAAAAAAATGGAGCTGTAACTATATATATATATTTTATTAGTAGAATTTTTTCATTTAGCCTAATCTGTTAAATCTAGACACCCCTATCTACCAGCCTATCGATTTTTATGACGACATCAAAGATATTTGTGTAGTTTGTAACGGTTGGAACCGTTATTCGTTATTTTGACACAATCACCTCTACTCAAATGTCATTTTTCGTTTATGCCTTGTGTCAAAAGTTCGTATTTCATTTGATTTGAATATATCAACTCGATCACATTCATTTTTGATTTTTATATATCGTAAATTCCGTCTGATTTTATAAGGTAAGTTTTAATACGAATATATTGTTAAATATACAAGGTGTCTGTAAAAGGTCTTTACAAAAACATACCACATATTCCTTAGACCAAAATAAGTCGATTTAAGTAAAATTACCTTAGTACAAAGTTGCTTCGTTTGGGCACCCTTAAAAATTCTACTCCAATGGAAGAAAAGGAGTTTGAGTATGAAATTTAGATTGCGCAACTCATTTACTTTAAAAAAGGTACTTTTGATAAGACTCGATTACTCTAATGGTTTTCGCTAAATTTCTGTTTTAATAATTTAGAGTGTATAGGTTTCACAAAAATATTTATTTACAACATAATCAAAATAGAGATTTTACAAAAATTGTTCAAAATGTTCACCATTTTCACGCATACAAAGATTTATACGTCGAAGAAAATTAAAATGTATCCTTTCCATAACTTCTTCGTCACCTCTAAGATTGTTTATTGCATCTTGAATACGTTGCCAAAGTTGTTCCTCATTTTCTACAGGTTCCCTGTAAACTGTGGATTTCAGATGTCCCCATAAAAAGTAATCCATCGGTGTTAGGTCTGGGGAACGTGGTGGCCAGTTTACAGGTGCGTCATTACCTTTGCCTATCCATTTGTGTGGATATTGTTCATTCAAGTGGTTTCTAACGTTTAAAGAAAAATGTGCATAAACCACATATCTCTCCGAAGTTGGAAAGGTAAATCTTCTAACAATTCTGGCAACGTATTTTGTAGAAATTCCAAATAATTTTCTCCAGTTAATCTTCGTGGAAGTATGACAGGACCAACAATGAAATTACCAATTATTCCAGCCCACACATTAATTTTGAATTCGTGCTGAACATGGTTTACCTTATGTTATGTTATGTTGATAATGGGGTGTTAATACACTGCGACCTAAAAGATCTATTGTGCCCCCTTCTGTCGCCACTGCACTAAGGAAATGTCTCAATGCCTATAGCGACCCTTCCAATCCTATTTTCTCAAGGAAGTGTAGGATTTGAAGTGGCTTCAAGTTAGGTAAGTCTCCCTCTTCTATTTGATATCCTCCTAGATATAGTGCCCTTGGATTCTGGAGTGCTACACATTCAGTTAGGATGTGAATGGAGGTTTCGTCCTCCTCCTCACAGAATCTGCACTCACTATCCTCTACTTCTCTCAGTTTACTTAGGTGTCCTTTTAGTCGGCAGTGCCCGGTAAGGATCCCTGTTACAATACGTAGCCTGTTCTTGCTCAGGCAGATGCAGGCTTCCGATCTTTTTTGGTTATATTCACCCAGAAGTATCTTGGCCTGTCTCAGCCCCAAGAGATTGTTCCAATTATCGGTTCTTCTACTACCCAATTCTTTTTTAATCTCTTCTAATATTATGTTACTGCTGATACCGCAGAACGGCTCAGGTCCTACAAAGGGTGTTTGAGCCCCTTTCCTTGCAAGACTATCTGCAATCTCGTTACCGTGTACCCCGTTATGTCCCGGGACCCAAGTGAGAGTAACTCTATTTTTCTCGCCTAGCTCATTCAATTGTTCTAGGCATCTCCATACCATTTTTGAGCTGATTATGTAAGAACTCAGCGCTTTGATGGCTGCTTGACTATCGGACATGATGATAATCTCTTGTCTATGATAGTTTCTCTCGATGTTAAACTGGATACACTTCTCGATGGCGTGAATTTCCGCCTGGAAGATGCTTGGGTATTTTCCCAAGCTTTCGGAGTGCTTGGTTCTCGGCCCATACACTCCTATTCCAGTTCCTTCTATGGTTTTGGAACCGTCCGTGTACCACTGAATAGCACGTCTTTCGGTTGCAAGCGCGATGGATTCTTGGCTCCATTCTTTCTTGCAGCCCAGCTCTGTGGTTTTGAAGTTTTTCACAAAACTGTACTTCTTTTGCATTTCATCCTGGGGCATGTCCCAGATATCTTTAGTCCTGAAGCAAGTAGACTTTCGTCTGATTACTCCGCTCCTGATCATTCTATATCGTGTCCTTTTTGCCACATTCTCTATCATCAAATGTAGAGGGGTGAGGTTTAAGATCACCTCCATTGCGGTCGTAGGACAGGTTCTCATTGCACCAGTAATGCAAACACAGGCTAGTCTTTGTACTTTTGAGATATTAGCTCTCGTAGTAACTAAACTAGTTCTGTTACTCCAGGCTATAGCCCCGTAAGTGATGATTGGTCTCACTATTGCAGTATACATCCATCGCAGTATGTTTGGGTTACATTTCCATCGTTTACCCGCCATGTTTCTGCATACCATTAGGGCTTTTGTGGCCTTATTTACTACTTCCTTCTCATGTGTGTTCCAGAGAAGTTTGTTGTCCAGGGTTAGGCCTAGATATTTGACTTCATTTTTCCATTCTATATCTATCCCGTCTAATTTAACGGTTTTGAGATTAAGTTTTCTTTTCCTTAAAAAGGCTACTAGTGTTGTTTTTGTAGGGTTTATACTAAGTCCCACTTCACGGCACCATCTTTTGGTATGTTCTAGTCCTCTTTGGACTATATCACACAGGATATTACTAAACTTGCCACTAGCAAATATGACTATGTCGTCGGCATAACCTTGACAGGGTATGCCGAGATCAGTCAATCTGCATAGAAGTTCGTCTACGATTAGGCTCCACATGGTTTACCTTTATTGCATGCGGATTTTCAACGGCATAAACATGTTCATTATGGGTATTAGTTATACCTCTTCTTGTAAAACCCGCTTCATCGATAAAGAGAACCTTCTTGACAAAGTTTGGATCTCTTTCTCTTTGCATATTAACAAATCGACAAAAACCCAAACGAATTTGAGGATCATGGACTAATAATTCTTGTACTGGCTTCTTATGGTATGGATATAGCAATTGTTCTCTAAGCACTTTATGAACGACATCTTTACTTACTCCTAGTTCCCTTCCAATTCGTATGTTGCTTAATTCTGGATCTTCTTCAACACGTTCTAAAATGTCTTCTTCAACTTCAGGAATCCTTACAAAACGTTCTCTTCCATTATCAACAGTGTTGGGAGTAAAGGAACCGGTCTCCCGAAGACGTCTCTCAACAGCAGCAAAAGTTGGGTGGCTAGGTACACGACGATTTGGAAACCTTTCAGAGTACACCCTGACACTCTCTCGAGCATTTCCTTCACAAAATCCTAATGTCAGTAACATATCGGTATATTCTGCATTGGTATATTGTACAGCCATATTAATAAACCACGCATTTGTTTTTTTAATTATTGGGTCAGATAGAACACTTTAAATCGTTAACAAGAGATTAGGTGTTAAAACTTGATAATATTTTTATTTAGATGAAACTATGGAAACTAACAATAAATGTTTTTGTATACGTATTGCAGGCAAATAATTAATATTCCTCAAAAAATCGTACATGGCAAGAATCGAGTATTTTTGTTAAAAGTCTCGATTAGAGGTGTTGAAGAAGATATGAAATAAGTACATTTTTACGTTTTTCATCGTATAAAATTTTGTCCGATAATAATACATAGGCGTAGAACTTGATTTTTTAAATAATTGCACCTTTAAAAATTCTACGCCAATGGCAGAAAAGGGGTTTGAGTATGAAATTTGGATTGGGTACTCACTTACTACAAAAAAAATCATGATTCCTATACTTTCCTTATATCTGTATACAGATAGGAAAGTAAAAATGATAGCGTTTTAATTAATGACAGTATCTCACCATCTCTAATAGTAGAGGATGGGTCACACATACAGGGTGTTTCTCTAAACAATAATTCAAGTCCATTATTTTTTAAGAAACTAAATGATAAAAGGCCGCATTTAAAGGGTTAAAATAAACAATATTGAAATATTAGCTTTAGTAGATACGGGTTCTAATTCAAAAATGATGATGACTTAAGTGTAACTACTGCTGCTGGGGTTTCACAAAATGTATTAGGTTTTATAAATGTACCTGTCAATGTTGATGATATTACAAAAACTTTGAGAATTTTACTTATACCTACAGTAAAACTTAATTTAATTTTGGGAATAGACTTTTTAAATTTATTTAATATTGATATTAGATGTGGTGAGTTTTCATATTGTTCATTATCATCATTATGTGCTATAAATTCTATACAATGTCAAATCTGTCTTTTGAACAAAAATCTAAACTTAATGAAGTGGTAGATCTTTTTTCTACTATAGCTCCAAAAATAATTCTCACTAGGCGAATAAAGGAAGAAGAAGAAGAAGAAGAAGAAGAAGAAGAAGAAGAAGAAGAAGAAGAAGAAGACGACAAATGGCATTTGAGTAGAGGTGAATGTGTCAAAATAACGAATAACGGTTCCAACCGTTACAAGGGGCGTGGTACTAGCACAAAATATGTTGGTCAAAATTATTATACATGAATAATGTATAGTAAAAAGCTATAAAAAATTTGTTGCCGCTTTTGACAGATTATCCGCGCTCTGATACGCGTCGTGCTCTTAAGACATATTAGGTACCAGAGTTAAAGGTTGTTTTATTTGCTATCTCCAAGCGAAATGTAAAGTTGAGATTTTTTGACAATTCCTTGATTATGTCCGGAATTAATCCTCCAAATTCAACAACTTCTCCTGTTCCGTTTAACTTTAATATTTGCCATGGAGGATTCTAAAAAAAATAACAAAAACAGAATTATATTTAAGTACGAAGATGTAAAGAAAGTTTCTTTATTTTTTCCAAAGTCAATTTATTGGTAAATTGCTCTTGATATTTAATTTTTTTGCACCATAATAAATGTATCTATATGTATATACAGGGTGTTATTGAAATACACGTACATATTAAAATGGGTAATAGTATGTAATGACCAAAAACGATTGGCACCAATTTTAACTTCAAATTCTAAAATTTAAATATTGGGGAAGAGTCCCCTTTTCCGACCTACTAGTTTCCATATTTAAAGAAGTAAAATAAATCGAAATTGAACTTACCCATAGAAATTGCACTGTTGCCGTAGCAAAACCAATTAATTCAAAATAAAGTTTATTACAGTAATTGTTCAAAATGCCGTCCATTATTATTTACACACACTTGCAATCGTCTTTCCAAAGAACTTTGAACATTAGAAATTAGTCTTGGATTTTGTCGTAGTTCCTCGGCTATCGCATTAACTTTATTGGTTAATTGTTCAACACTATTAATAGGTTCATTATAAACCAGTTGTTTCATGTGACCCCACAAAAAGAAATCGCATGGATTTAAGTCCGGAGATCTCGGAGGCCACTTAGTAGGTCCATTTCTGCCTATCCACTTTTGAGGAAATCTAATGTTCAAAAACTGCCGTACGTTTAAATTAAAGTGAGAAGGAGCGCCATCTAGTAGGTACCACATCCGTTGCCTTAATTGTAACGGTATCTCTTCTAGGAGTACTGGCAAAATATCTTCTAAAAAGTGGAGATATCCTGGCCCATTTAATCTGTTCGGGAGAACATAAGGCCCGATTAAATACTGATCTATTATGCCAGCCCAAACATTTATTGAAAATTTTCTTTGATGCCCAGTTTCCCTAATGGCGTGAGGATTTTCATCACTCCAAATATGCGTATTGTGCATATTGAACACGCCATCACGAGTGAATGAAGCCTCGTCAGTATACAATAATATTTTTAGAAAATCAGGAATATCAACACATTTTTGAATCATCCATTCACAAAACTCCACTCTCTTTTCTTCATCACCTGGATATAAGGCCTGGACTTTTTGGATGTGATAAGGATGTAAACCTTGTTCTTTAAGTGTCCGCCACACAACAAATGAGGACACTCCAATTTCAAGACCTAGTTTTCTACAACTTAATTGAGGCCGGTTTTCAACAGCTTCCAATATTCCTTCTTCGGCCGCCAATGTTCTTTGTGTTCTTGTTCTCCCTCGATCTGCATTGACACTCTCAAATTTTCCATGGTCTCTTAGATGCTGAACAGTTGAAATAAACATACGACAGTCCGGAATTCTCCGATTTGGAAACCGTTCGCGATACAGGATTTGTGCTTGCCGAGAATTTTCTCCAGCTGCCCCATAAACCAGCACTATATCCGTTAGTTCAATATTCGTAAATAGTGGCATCGTAAAAAAATATTTAAAAGTAATCGTAACAACACTTTTTACCAACTTGGAAATGACGCGCTCGTGTTAGCCAGATTCGTAAATCAACTAAAATTTTAATAATCTATAGTTTCAAAAATGTATAGTTTAAAAACAATCATTTATCAAATATTCTAGTTTTTTGATAACGAGGGTAGTAAAAACCAGTCTTCGGAAATAGAAATTAATTCGAAAATCTTGGCAACATGGTTATTTCTTACAAGACTAGTTTTCTTATCATCTGACAAAAACTTGCATATTAATTACTGTTGATGTTTAACATAGGTAAATAAACCTAATTTATATAGGTCATCCTCAACATATCAGTGAAGTACGTTTGTTTTAGAATTAATTTTCAAAAATTAATAACGCCCTTAATAAGGGGTATTTTTAAAAAATAATATTTTTCTACATTCAGTGGGGATCTGCGCAATACCCAGTTTTAATATGTACGTGTATTTCAATAACACCCTGTATATTAATACAATTTACTAACATGAAAAGTGATCATTGGCAATGTTTTCCCTCTAAACCCATGAGCAATGTGTAAAAATAATTCGTCAGTCATGTCTGGACCATCACTTGGACGCCAAGAACCCACTTGCACCATTTTTGGTTCAGCTTTTTGTTCTAAAGTATCATATTCCACGCCCCAAGTTTCTCCAGTTTTCATCTCCCATCTAGTGCAATTATCGCAAACTCCATTTTTAAAAAGGTAATTCTAAAATAAAATATTTATAATGAACACTATTCGTTAGCTCAAGGGGAGACACCTATATGCTAAGCCACCCATTCTAAAAGGTTTGAAACAAAGTATATGTGAAATCAACATAGTAAGGTAACCAACTGACGGATTGGCGCTGTTCGTTACTTCCGTTGGTCATCACCTCTATTTTCAACGAAATATTTACCTAAGAGGGTGCAACCTGTGTATATAGAGAATAGAATTATATCAACATCAACACAGTAGTTAACCAACTGGCGAATTGACGCTGTTCGTTAACTGCGTTGGTCCTCAACTTAAATAAAATATGTCTTGATAGCAAATGAACGTGGGTATAAAAATTATCAATTAATTAACTAGACGATCACTTCTACTATATAACTTAAAATAAAATAAACTTGTGAGGCAAATAATAACATTTTAGAGAGTAAAACAACGATCAAAGAGGTACTGGGGATGGGCCGTTACAGTACCTGTACAGTACTTGTGAGTAAAAGTATATGTCAAAGTTTTCCGATTTAAATAAAGATATATGAAAATATTTAAAACTAAAGTTATATATTGCTTCATTAAAGGAATATAAACTCACTTTCATACTTTTTAACAAATAATCCCTTCTTTCTGTTTTGATCGGTCTAATAGCTTCCCATTCTTCTTCTGACACTTGACTGGCTGTATCGAATTCATCTTGAATGGCTTGATCCAGCGCTCTAGTAAATGCTTTCAGCAATTCTTCAATATGGCATTTTCTTCCTCCCTTCAGATTAAAAATATTATTGTCTCTAGCGAGTCACAGGTCAAATGTCTAATTTATTATTATACCAGTGATTATTTAACGCTATAATAGATCAACCATTGATAATCTACTTTTTTTTTAACACACACCAATCAAAAGAAACTACAGTCTGTTTGCTATACTTACGCGGGTTTCGGATTAAACATTTTATGAGTATTTCCAGGTAAGTACCCAAAAGTTTGACCTGTTCTTTGGGGAAATATTAACTGGTTAAATGAAATGAAAAATAATGTACAACTTTTTAATTAAATAATAATGGAGAATCTTTTGTATATTTGAGAGCAGAATTAAACTTCTTCATTACTGAAGTCTAATGTGGCTATTATAAACCTAATAATAATTTTATATTACACTTCACAGAAAATATGGTCTATGTATAATAAGAGGGTTATTTAGCTCAAATAAAATATTTTCTAACATAAAAATTTGTTCCATGTAGAAAATTTCAAATGAAAACTAAAAAAATCTGATGTGTCCAACACATGACTTTCCTATCTAGTTATTACGTAAAAACAAAAAAAAATCAGAATTTTGCACATTTTGTCAAATTTCTCGAATACGGACCATTTCAGGACATTTTAATATAAAACAAAAATTATAGATAATAATATTAGAAGTAACTTTTAATTGAACAATTTTCTTCTCCAAACATAAATAACAGATATATTCCATAAAATATAAAAACGGCCTCCCATAAAGTACCCCCCCAGATGTTCCGACTTTGTCCAAAATCTAATCATTTCACGTCAGGCCAAAATAAACCATAAGTTTAAAATTTAATGTTTTTTCTTTATCCGTTTTTGAGTTTTCTTCAAAATTCGAAATTTACACATTTTCTCAAATATCTCGAATACGGTCCATTTTAGAGAAATTATGTATGGAACAAAAATTATAGAAAATTATATTACAAACAACTTTTATTTGAACAATTTTTATAAAAAAATTATTTTTTTTACATTTTGTCAAATTTCTCGAATACGGACCATTTAAGGAAAATTTTGCATAAAACAAAAATTATAGATAATTATATTAGAAGTAACTTTTATTTGAAGAATTTTCTTCTCCAAACGTAAATAACAGATATATTCCATAAAATATAAAAACGACCACCTATAAAGTACCCCCCCAGATGTTCCGACTCTGCCCAAAATCTATTCAGCTCATTGGACGCTAAAACAAAGCTTAAGTTTAAAATTTGGTGTTTTTCTGTGTATCGGTTCATGAGTTATGCGTTATACAGACACACACACACACACGCACACGCACACGCACACGCACACGCACACGCACACGCACACGCACACGCACACGCACACACACACAACACCCACCACACACACACACACACACACACACACACACACACACACACACACACACACACACACACACACACACACACACACACACACACACACACACACACACACACACACACACACACACACACACACACACACACACACACACACACACACACACACACACACACACACACACACACACACACACACACACACACACACACACACACACACACACACACACACACACACACACACACACACACACACACACACACACACACACACACACACACACACACACACACACACACACACACACACACACACACACACACACACACACACACACACACACACACACACACACACACACACACACACACACACACACACACACACACACACACACACACACACACACACACACACACACACACACAGACATCATCGCGAAAATAGTTAAAACGGATTCAGGGGACCTCAAAACGTAAAAATCCGTCGAAAACTCGAGGTCGAAAAAAATCATGATTCCTATACTTTCCTTATATCTGTATACAGATAGGAAAGTAAAAATTGAACTTGCCAACAAAAATAAAAATCAGTCAGTATCATCAAAAATATCATAATCATCACTGTCATCACCATTAATTGTTATTATGATATGACTTATTTCGTTTATGTTATTTTCACGAGTCCACCAATCTTCTATTAGTTTCTCGCACTTGGAATACAATTCCGCCACACTTCTGGAGTTGCAATTGAAAGTGCTTTTCGCAAGTTTCCCGAACTGCGTCGTCACTATAACCATTAGGTCCAATATGGTTGTCATAATATTGTTTCGCTATTCCCCATATATATTCGATGGGATTAAACTGGCAATGATACGGTGGCAGACGTAAAACTTGATGCCCGTAACTTTCAATAATCTGATCCACAATAATATTTGCTAAGCGTAATAATTCTGATTTTAATATATATTGAGGAAATGGTATATGTTCCTTTGTCAACCATTCTTTAATTTTATCAACAGTGCAAGAATTCGTTGGACTTTTGTTTAATACTTCAGAATAGTAAGGTGCATTGTTTAAAATAATTACGCTGGGCTCACTTAAACCTGGGAGAAGTTTTTCATGCAACCATTTTACAAACATTTCTGTGTTCATATTATCGTGATAGTCACTTGATTTTGATTTAGATGAAAATATTAAATCAGCACCTTCTATAAAATCCGATTTCCCTCCTGCATGTAAAATTATGTGTTGCTTCCCTTCTCCATCGGTATGATTGATGGACTTTACGTTATCATCTTGCCATATTCTCTTGGTTGCACCCCTAGAAAATATCCATGTTTCGTTTAAATATATAAAATTCGCCCCTTCTTCTTTAAATTTAGAATATTTTCTTAGAAAGTTAATTCTCTTGTGCACGACAGAACTTCTTTCACAAAGAGCCTTTCTGTTATCCTCCTTTTGAAACTTGAAACCCAAGTTATGTATCACTTACCATAGACTTGTTCTGCCAATGTCGTTAAATTTTCTATCTATTAATTCAGAGAGAATTGTATTTCATGTTTCTTGTTGGCCCTCATTCGATAAATGGTATCACGAATTTCAAATTTCTTTCCATCTGGAATATTTTTCGTTTTCAATGATGTGCGAGTTTTGCGGTGCTTTTCTTTCGGCAGTTCACTATTGTGATTTTGTAATACTCCTCTTAATTTGGTTTCACTAATTCCTAGAGCAGTGGTCGCCAACCTCTCAATGTGTTGAGCTACTTTGTTAATTTTGGAATAAACAGCGAGCTACCCACACGGAAGCCACGTAACGTAACGCAACGTAAATGAAATAATCCACAGTTAATTTATCATTATATGTATTTATTTTACTATTTAACTGGTAATACATAATACATAGGTACTAATAATAAACTAATAACAAAATAACTAATATTACTAGTACGTACTTGTTCATAGCTACATTCCTACCTACCAAACGAAGGTGTTTGAAAAATAAACACAAACTTTTATCCAGCCACAACGGCATGTCACGTAAGATTTAAAAATAGTTAATAATAACAACAAAAAAGTAACGCACTATCATGAACATAAACATTGAAAAATAAAAAAGCACGTTCAATGAGAAGGCTGACACTCAGACTCATCGATAATTTGTTGCAGTATAATTTGATACAGCTATTTGAATACAATTATTCAAATGTTCATCTGTATGTCGATTGCGATATTTGTTCTTAATAAACTTCATATTGGAAAAAGAAGATTCACACAAATAGGTTGAACTGAATAATGCTTTCACTTTCAAGGCAACACGGCATAGAACTGAATATTTGTCTTTACTTACAATAGGCCAGATACATTTGCTACTTGAGACTAACGATTTTAAGGCTAAATCATTTTGAAACTCAATTACTTCCATTTCTGTTGCAGCGATGTCTTCGCCAAAGTTCTGCATAACACAAGTTGCAAACTGTTGGATATCAATTTCCATAAAGGGTGAAACAACAAACTGCGCTACTAAAGCCATTTCGTTGAAATCCTTAAAACGATTTTTGAAGTTATTCTTCAGGGTAGAAACTATTTCTACATGATATTTGCTGTCATAGGGTTCTAATGGATTTTGAGATATTTTTTCTGAAAGAATAGGAAAATGCTTGGCATCGCTGTTAATTAGGTTTTGTTCCCAAAACTCCAGCTTTTTGATAAATGCTTTTATATCAGAAATCATTTCCGCTAGTTCTTTGTCTCTCCCCTGAAGCTGCAAATTAAGTTCGTTTAATTTCTCTGTAATGTCCACGAGAAAACCAAAATCTCTAAGCCAGATTGAATTTTCTAGTTCCGGAGTCAGTTCATCGCCTTGTTTGAAAAATTGAACTATGCCAGATAGGACATCATTAAAACGTTTCAGCACCAATCCTCTACTTAACCATCGGACTTCAGAGTGAAGGAGTAGGTCCCCGTATTGACAGTCAACTTCATCGGCCAAGGTTTTGAATAATCTTCTTTGTAACGCTTGAGCTCTAATCTTGTTCACAATTTTTACCTCCAGTTTCATAACGTTGTTTAGTTTCAGGAAATTTCCACATAATGCTTGCTGATGGATAATGCAGTGGTAACAGAGACATTGCGGAAAAGTTTCATCTTTACGACATAACGCCACCAGACCCTTATCACAACCCACCATAGCTGGAGTGCCATCGGTTGTCAAGCCTACCATTTTCGATATTGGAATTTTCTCGGAAGAAATAATATTTTTTAAATGAGAAAACAACTCCTGTCTAGTAGTGTGTCCTTTCAGTGGAATAAACTTCAAAAGATCTTCTTTAATTGTAAAATCACTAAAAACCATCCTGACGAACACGACCACCTGGGCAGTGTCAACGACATCTATTGATTCATTCAGTTGAAATGAAAAATAAACACAGTTATCTAAGTTAGTTCTTAACTGTAAAAAAATATTATTGCTCATTACTTCTACACGTCTCGTCACTGTATTAGCAGAAAGTTGCATAGATTTTATAGCTGAAACTATCTCGTCTTTATTTCTAAAGTTGGCAAATAACGAATCAGCAGCTTCTAAAAACGCCTGTTTTATCATTTCCCCGTCTTCATAAGGTTTCTTTTTTGTGCAATTATCTGGGACACACGGTACGATGCTTCAGTTGCAGCCTTATTTTTGTCGACTGTTCTTAAAAATATTGATTGTTATCCAATTAACTGCTTTTTTAACTGTTTCAGTTTCTCCTTTCTGGCGGCAGAATGTAGTGGGAATTATTTTTCAAAATTAGAATGTACAGTTTTATGATGTCTCTCAATATTTCCTTTTTTAGCAACGGAGACCGAAGTATTACATAACAAACACATATTTTTATCTTTAACTTCTGTAAAAAAGTATTGTTCTTCCCATTCCGAATGAATGTGGTATGTCTTTACCTTCTTACAACTGCTTGCCATAATATTATTTTTTGTTGTTCTCTACTAACCCAACCGCTGGACGTTGGTTACGCGTTCAGTTTTAAACTAAGCGCAATGTCGCCGCGCCGTGCGTATTTATCCCGTTTAAAGCAATCCTGATCGTTCTCGAACACTAACGCGCTGGTCCGGCTGGTCGGTTCTAGCCGATTCTAGCTTGATGGCGTCAGCGACAGATCGCTCACCGCAACGTTGCCGCTGTTTATGTGTAATATTATGACAATTAGATTTTTTTGTGGAATTTTCGGAAGCTTCTCTGATTTTTGCAGTTTTTATTTTTAAATTAAAATCGTTGTGAGAGCTACCAGAATTGCCTCCGCGAGCTACCGGTAGCTCGCGATTGACAGGTAGGCGACCACTGTCCTAGAGCATCGCATACGCGTTGTTGTACAGACATTACCGATTTTAAAGGATCGCCATTTTATTTTTTATCCGTAAAATACTTATGTACACTACAAATTAGACTATCTACATCTAACACACGTCCAGGCATTTTTAAAATTTCCACTAAATCTACAATATACATACAATGTCAACACTTGCAAAGAATCAATTCAACTGCAATATTTGTAACAAATTTAGTACCTACCTTAATGTTATTTTAATTTAAATCTGACCATTAGGGCAATTTTACCGAATTTCTTGGGAAGAGGCTTATTGGAACTGGTTGTCAATGACTAATTTGCATAATTTTGTTAATCCGAAACCCGCGTAAATATAGCGAACAGACTGTATCTAAAAACACTGCACAGTGCATCCCGATTGGATCATAGTTTTTTTTTCACTTTTCAAAAAGGTGGCAACCCTAAACACAGTTGGTTGTATACCTACAAGCAATAAAGTGAATTGTTAAATTTTTTGACATAGCACGTCTTGCAGTCTTAACGATGATAGGCAAACAAACAAAAGTTTCTTATTTATAAGCAAATAAATTCAAAAATGAAATTAAATAAATAAAAAAAAAAAATACGGTGAAGTTAAACAAATATTATTTTTAAAGACATACCTGACATTGTTTCGAATTTAAAGTAGCATTATTAAGGAAAGCAATATTGTCACCTTCTTTCAGCTGATTCTCAAAAACATCTAATTCTTTAAAATTGTTATCAGTATCCGATATAATATACATCCATTGATTGGTAGTGCTTGCTAGTTTTAAGGATTTCGCATATTCCATAATACTTCCAGCTAAAAATGTATTATGTTGTGTTGAGAATAGGGTGTTAATATACTGCTACCTAAATATCTATTGTGTTCCCTTCTATCGCCAATGCAGCAAGAACATGTCTCCATGCCTATAATGACCCTTCCAATCCAACCTTCTCAAGGAAATGTAGGATTTGGAGTGGCTTCAAGTTAGGTAACTGTTCCCTTTTTTGACTCATGTGAGTAAATAGGCTATGTTCATTCTAAAACAAGCTCCATGTTAAATCTCATAAGAAATCGCTAAGGTTCATTCTGGCATTCATGAGTCGAAGTTAGAATAATAACAGCTGTCAATTGGCGATTTTGTAGCCAGAAAAAACGGTAACGATGCTTCAAGATCAAGATGACTAGCTATACATTGTTGACAACCCACTTCTCGATGCCTATTTTATCCTTAGTATTTTACTGCTGTAACAGATGATGTATCTCAGGTGCTATGCTCTCTTCCACCCCCTCCCAGCCCGTTCAAATGTCCAGCAGCCATCTTGTTATTGAAGCATCGTTACCGTTTTTTTCTGGCTACAAAATCGCCAATTGACAGCTGTCATTATTCGAACTTCGACTCATGACCTTGAAAGCGTCAAAAATTGCCAGAATGAACCTTAGCGATTTTTTATGGGATTTAACATGAGGCTTGTTTTAGAATGAACATAGCCTATTTACTATGATTGTCGCACTCGCCTACAGCTCCTGCGGCAACATTCATATTCGTCAAAAAAGAGTAACTTTACACACTTGTTGCATAAATAACTATTTTAAAGTACCTTGTATTTCACCGAGTTGTAGCGCTTAAAATGAGTGAAAAACGTAAAATACAGTTGTGCACTCGGCGCCATCTTGTGTTCTTCGGTTAATCCAATAACGTATAGAACCCACTCACCCAAGGATCTGTACAAACATGTACAAGGTATAAAGGTGACAGAATGGGTGCTATGAACTAACATGGTGTAAAACACAAAAAGCCAATAGGCTTCAGTGTTATTCGGAGATATAGTCAGACGAGCCCAGGAGAGAAAAAAAAACTGTTAGGAAGCGATTTGGAAAATCAAGCTCGGTTCTGCCGCCTATAATTATTCCGACTCATACCGTTATTGTACCACCTCTATATCTGTACACATCTCGAACATGTATTAAAAGTTCCACATTTCTAGATCGTCTCCTTATTTTTGTTCGACGAGAATCTGGATGAAATCCAAACCTGCATTCATCTGTATACGTGCAGGTCGACCGATGCGACACTTGTGGTTGAGCCACAGTTTTAGAGTACCAGTGAAGACGAGTGAAATTTTTTTTATTTATTTATATAATTGGTTATCAATATTTAAAATTTAGTTGTTAATTTACGAATATTTTCAACTTTACCATTAACAGTAACATCTGGAGAGCATAGTCCAGTAACTGAAGGGACCAACCTGTCATTAAGTCGGTCCAGCTTTTCGTTGTGGCTCAACTCGTAGGTCTCGACGGTCGCTTCCAAGGTCAAAAACTTTTACCAACTCTGCTGCGTCGAAAAGGGCCCAAAATGGACCCTAAAACTGGCTTCCCGCCAATATCTTCCACAATATGCAAATTAGAGAATTTTTGTTTAGATAAAAAAGAAAGATCTTATCATTATCTACAAAAATGGTCGCTGTCATTTTTGTCGGGAATTTGACAGGTTTCGAGATAACCGCAATCAAAAGTCCCTCATTCAGCCCCTGCTTTATCTCTATAGCAATAACACAAGTTACAAGGTAACAGAACAACAATTTCAAATAAATAAATATTGATACTCAATAAGTGCCAATAAGGCACTTGTTTTGAGAACAAATATAAATATAAAAAATAAACAAATTTATACATATAAAATAAAATTAATGCATTACAGGAAAAAAAAATATATATATACATTTTAGATAATAATATTTTGTATAGGAGACAAACACAATCAAAATACCTACACTTAATTAAAAAGATATCGAAACTTTGACCATACAAAACGCAAATAAATATCAGTTAATTAAAAGAATATTATTTATTACCTCCATTTTCTCGTTTTTGATAAATTTTTTTAAATTATTTTTAAATATGGACAAGGTATTACATTTTATGTCGACTGGAAGAGTATTATATAATTTTGGACCTAGATACAAATACGATCGTTGTCCTACTGATTTTTGAGTACGAGGCACAGTATGGAGATGTTTTTTTCTTGTGCTATATGGATGATCTGGTAAGTTGAATAGTTGTTTATTTGTATGAAATTTAATATTAATATTATAATAAAAAAAATGTTTTAGATTCATAACATTTGCCTCAACAAACAATGAGTTAGAAGGATACCTGTAGGGCCTTTTGAGCATTATTTTTAAAAATCTTTTTTGCAGAACTTCAAGTGGTTGTAAATGTGTTTGTAGAGTACAACCCCACACAATGGTGGCATATCTCAAATGACTTTCTACTAAGCTATGGTACAATATTTTAAGTTGATGTGGTTGTAGATAATCTCTTATATTTTTAAATTTATATATTATCATTCTTAATTTTTGGCATGTAAAAGTTATGTTTTCTTTCCATTTGAGATATGAATCCATGTAAACCCCTAGATATTTTATCTTGTTTTCAGGGAGAATGGTAAGTGTTTGCCCAGAAGCAGTAAAAGTTACTTTGTCAAATGGAGGTCTTGTTATAATATTATTACTGAATGGTAAGTAGTGGGTTTTATCTACATTTAATGTCAGTAACTTACTGTCAAACTAGTTTTTCAGATTTGGAAGGTCCTGTTCAACTTTTTGCTTTAGTTCTAGCCATGAATTAGCTTTATAAAATATTGAGGTGTCGTCTGCGAATCCCAAAACTTCCCCTGAACTCTCGATAGAAAATAATCCGTTTATGTAAAGATTAAATAGAATAGGACCGAGTACCGTACCTTGTGGGATACCGTAAGATATGGATTCTAGATCACTGTAGACACCATTTACTCTTGTAACTTGTTGTCGGTTTGTGAGGTAACTTTAAAATAATTTTAGTGATGTGTCCCTTATACCTGCTTCTTCTAAAGTATCCAAAAGTAAACGGTGGCTGACAGTATCAAATGCTTTCGAGAGATCTAGATATACACAGAGACATGGACTGCTTTCATCTAGAGCAGTTAGTATTTTGGTAGATAGTGCGATAATAGCATCTTCCGTAGAGACATGTTTTTTAAAACCATATTGTTTATCAGATATTATATCATATTTTGATGTGAAATTTACTAATCTATTTTTAAGAGCTTTTTCAAAAATCTTTGATAAATGTGTTATTAATGAAATTGGTCTATAATTTGTTGCCACTGTGTCATCTCCTTTTTTATATATGGGGACAACTATTGTCTGTTTAAATATATTAGGCCATACACCAGTATCAAAAGTCAGGTTTATCAAATGATTGAGTGGTGTTACAATAAATTTAGATATATCTTTTAATATTTCGGCCTTAATATTGTCGATACCAGGACTTTTATTAGATTTTAACTCGTTAATAATAGTTTCAATTTCTCGTTCGGAAGTTGGAAATAGAACGAAAGAATTGCAGAGAATATTACGAGGTGCTCGATAGGTTGGATTTGGCTTAATATTTTTAGCCAGTTCTTTTCCAACATTTATATAGGTTTTATTAAAAATATTTGCAATTTCTTTGAATGTATTTATTGTTTCCCCTTCCGAGTTTTTTATTGAATTTATATATTTTTTTGTTTCTCTATTGGAGTTAATTTCATTTATTACTTTCCAAAGTTGTTGGTGGTTACAGGAGTTGTTTTCAATATTTTTGTTAATAAGGCTTTTATAATAGGTATTCTTCGCAGTTTTTATAGAATTAGTTACTTTGTTTTTAAATGTTTTATATTGTTGTTTAATTTCTAGGTTATTTGGGTTTTTTAATGTTTGTTGAAAAAGTGCATTCTTCTTATTTATCTTTTTTAGCAGCTGGTTTGTAATCCAGGGACAGATTTTATGTGTTTTTCTTTTTAATTTTATTTCTTTTGTGCTATCTTTTACAAAATTAGATAATAAACTGACGAATGTATTTGTTGCAGAATCGACTTCCCTAGTAGCCAATAGATCATCCCAGGATACACTAGTTAAAAGATTTTTTAGTATTTTCTGATCAACGAATTTTTTAAATCTTGCCGATTTATTTTTTTTTTTCAGATTTTATTGTAGGTTTAAGAATAAATTGTAAAGCTGTTATATAGTGATCTGTTATATCTGTTCGTACAACAAAGGGTACTATTTTATCAGTAATATTGTAATTAGATTTAATAAAAATATGATCAATACAAGATTTTGTGTTTTCTGTAACCCTTGTTGGACTATTTATTGTAGATATGTAACCGAATTCATTTAAAACATTGAGATATTCGTTAGAATATTCTTCGTGCTTCAGAATGTCGATATTCATGTCTCCAATAATTATTGAATATGCCGCATTGGAGTGATCGTAGTTTTGAAAATAATTTTGTAAATGATCTGTAAATTCATTCGGATCAACTGAAGGTGAACGATATATAGCAGTAATGGCAATTTTATCGCTATTATTTAGTGTTAAAAGAAGTTCTATTGCATCTGTGTTGTAGATAGTTGAAAGTCTGTAGTTGTATTTATGGTTTGATTTTATGTAAATACCTACCCCATCATTTTGGTTAAAATTACCTTTATTGTATAAAAAGTCATAGCCTACTATATTATAGAGTTCTGGTTGAGGTAGATTCCAGATCTCTGTTACTACAATACAGTCTATATTTGTATCTAGGTCCTGTAGGAATGCTTTAAATTCATCTATATTTTTGTTAAGACTTCTAATGTTTGTATGGCATAATTTAAAGCTGTCAATATGGTTAATTACCTCAAAAATTTCTTTTAATTCTTTTGCATTTTCTAATGTAAACGTTTCGATTGTATCTATTTCAAAATCACGAACATACTGTTCCATATCTGATTAAAAAGTAACTACTTATAATC